ACTCCACAGTTAACTGACACTGAGATGCTGCTGTCCTCCTTCCATCGGACAGTTTATAAGATTAAAAGTATCTAAACTGATACTATTGGTGAGAAAGAATCCGACTGTCCTAATTTAAAGAATGAGCAAATGCGATCACTGTTAAAGATTCATGCAGAATTCTGGAATGATGAGAGATTATGAAATGGTTATGTAAAGGGATGCCAACCCTTTCCCCAGACTTCATGTGTTGTCACTGAACCCAGCAGGACTTTAAGTCACTGAGGTTCTGTTGTGTCTCTCTGTCTTTGGTCACAGTCAAAATAAACTAAGTGTCGTGTCTGTAAAAAAAAAAAAAAAAAAAAAAAAAAAAAATTCCGTGTAGGTTGATTTCTTTGAAAGGGACAGTAATTTTAAAAAATAGCTGAGAAACTGATTTTGAAGTATGCCACTATTTTGTTTTATTTTTGTTTTAGTTGTGATATATTTGTCATACAGAAAGATGTAATTAAAAAAAAAAAAAAAGGACTCCATGTCTCAAGACCCAGGTTTAATAAATGTTAACATTTTGCCAAAATATTCTTCAAACATCCTTTTTAAAGAAAAACAGAATACATACAGCGCTGCCCCCTCCAACTTCATTCTCCTTTCATCTTTTTCTTCCACACTGAGGCATTCAGTGCCTCCATAAATACATAATGCTGTTCTCTGCATCTATTTTTGTCTAAGGTCTGAAAAGTTTCAGGTAATAAAATAATCTGTGGCTCAGATTTTCTTCTGTATTCCGGGATTTTCAAGGACCCTGGTATATTAACTACTGGTAAGTGGTATACTGGTGCTGTCATAATTTTTCAAATAAAATACCTTATGTTCTCAATACCTTTCTATCATTTCTAACTGATGTCCATTTTTAATAGATGCGATCCCCATTTCGATGTTTATACATTATCCTAGATGTTCTCAGTCTTGTTTGACTGCCTACCTTCCCCCTGGCCTTAGAGCTGAGCTTGTTTGGTGCAGGCCTCTCCTCCTGGCACTTCTTCCATGCTGCTGAGTCTCAGTTTCGTATTTGAGATCCCGTCCCCACCCCCACCACACACACACACACACACACACACACACACACACACTGTGGGACTGCTGTGCCTCCATACAGCTCACTTCCACAAATGTCAGTTGCTTAAGTTCTTGGATGGGAACTCTACTCCTCCAAAGAGGGCATCAGCTCTATCTCTTATGTACCTAACACACTGGCCTGCTCTCATGTCTACTGAGCAATCCTACTGAGGTCACTATTTTTGTTGTATATGCATGAGTTAAGGAAATTAAATGGGACAAACAAAATGTCTTAACTTAGTTGGAGTTTACTTAAAAACTCCATTACTCACAGAGGGACATTTTTCTTATGGGGATGGTAAACATCAATAATTACTACATCTAAGCACTCAGCACTATGCCTGGTGAATGTTAGGTGCACATCAGCTATTGATTCTGTTCCCTTACTTCCTCTGAAAGCCTTAATATCTCTTGATATTGATTTTGAAGGAGTCTTATTTGCACAGTAAATAGTTTCTGATTCACCTAAAATAGCAACCTGAATACTGTGCCTTCTGTCTGATGACAGACTTACTAGGATTACACTGACTGTTCATGTTACTAACAGGAGGCAGGCACCTTTAAGGGAACAAACACTTGAAGTGTTTTCCTATTTACCTACAGCTAAAACTAATTTCACCAAGGGAAGGGAATTTTATATCGGAAACATTTGTACCTTTTGAATGATATTCTAACAGATTATGGGGCACAAAAATCAAAGACTAAAAAAATTCCCTAAACTGGATAAACACACACACACACACACACACACACACACACACAACTCATAGCCAATGCACTGTTATGCAGGTAGGTATTAAAAAGGGGCATTATTTGTAATATTAAAATACAATTTAATTTAATATTGTAAAACCACCATCATACTTTCCTAGCTATGTAAAACATTAAAATTAAGAATATTTTAGTGAAAAAAATAATTTATTATATAGAAAGCCGATAAAAATGCACATAATGTATGTCCAATAAACTAATTTAAGTGCAAATACATTAATTTTTAAATACACTTTAAAAGCTGTTACGCACAGTTCCATAGCCCAGATGGTCAATTTCTTCTCAAAGGTGCAAAACACAGGAAAGACATGGAATTCAAAAGGAACCTAAAATACCATAAAAATTCATTGAAAGCAGTAATGAGTATAAAACAGTTCATTAGTTTAAAAATAAATAAAAGCTAACATATTTCTACTTAGAAAATTAGTGAATCATGTCAGTACAACATTTTGTCTAAAAAACAGTTTATAAAGAAACTAATTTCTAACATTAGAAAATAAAACATTTAACTTCCTAGTGGGGGGGGGGGGAGCAATTTCAATATCTATAATTTTTTTGCACTCTTAGGATGATAGTGATTATTAACAGATGTTTGAATTGTTTTCAGAGGACTAAGAATAGCAGGATTTGCAAGAAGGAAATGTAGAGGCACCAACCAACCTTTCTTCTCCTATCTAGAAAGGTAGATAGGTAGGTGATTTAGGTAGCTGACCATTTTAATCTCCCAAAGTCGTATCCACACTGGTCAGTCCTTGTAAATATATTAAGAGAAGGATCCTTTTCAAATTCGATTCTTCGATTCCCAGAGATTTGATTTATTAGTTCTAGGACCCAGTTCAGGAATCTCAGTCTAAAAATCCTTCCTCGATGTTTCTCAATCTTGGTTACATATTAGTCAAAATTTAGGGAGGTCTAAAAAAATCCCAGAATCTATGTTGCACACCCGATCGATAAGTCAAAACTTGGGGGAGGAACCCAGGCATCAGTAGATTTTTTTGGTGTTTTTGTTTTGTTTTGTTTGCTTTTTAATCAATACAATAAAAGTTTCCCATGTTATTTTAATGTGCAATCAAGTCTGAGACCCAGTTCTGGGTAATCCTGGTCATGAACTAGTCTGGAAACCACGGTTCTGACCTATCCACCCAGACTGTTTCTCTCCACTTAATGTGCTACCCTGAGTCAACATTCTGTCTTCCACCTCTGTTACACTTTTCTTCTTGCTTTTGTTTTGTTTGGTTTAGAAAAGAAAGGAATAAGATACTCCTATTTGCTGTCTGTCTCAAAGGAAATTTTAACACTTCAAACGTGAGGTTTGCTACTCTTATTTGGAATTTGCATAGGAATCTAGTTATGCTATTTTTTAACTAGCTAATATATTTTTTAATATTTGAATTCTTAAAATAATAAAAGAAAAAACACTTTCCCAACTAAATTTTACAACACATTATACATAATACCTAAACTAAATCTATATATAAAGGCCTAAGCAACTGGCCAGTAGCTATGATGCACACTGTCCACCAGGGGGCAGACACTCAATGCAGGAGCTGCTGAGCTGCACTCACATGGCAGCAGTTCTGGGGTGAGGCACCTGGAACCAGAAAGGAAGGAGCCCAGTTCAGGGGTGCATCACCTCAGAACCACCCTCTCGCAATCCAGGACCCCTTGGGGGATGTTAAGAGAGCGGATTTTGGCTTGATCCCCGCAGGCTTGGCCGAGGGACCCCCACCAGTGCACGAATCCATGCACCAGGCCTTTAGTATGTCAGAAAACAGAACACATTCGTGAATTTGGTCTAGAAATTACATAAATGAAGAAAAGGGGCTAAATTCTGCATTAAAGTAAATGCATACATTCTACAAGTAAATAAATTGACCTGATTCACTAACTTTCCCTGAAAAAATTACATAACCTAAAGGAAAGGCTAGAAAACTTAGCAGCACATTTCAACAAACCCATAAAAGATTTGTTCAATCAACACTGATATTTAGGAATATTTCTTTTAAGTTGCAAAAAAAGTATTGCTCATTCTGGACCAATGGGTGGGAGGGACAAAACATTTCTAAGGAAAACAAAAAACAAAAGTACTGCCCCAAAAGGATACGAGAAAGGATACACTTTGCATGACAGTGTTACAGCGGTATTTACGCAGGAATGCTTCTAAAGAAGAACAGCGGGTTGCAGTTTAATTTCTTCTCACTTTCCACATGTTTGCATATAAATGATTTTTTTTAAAAACACACACTAGTTTCTTGTTAACTGTTCCACTAAGGCATTTGTAGGACTTCTGACTATACCACTATAGATGTTTTAAAACAAAACTCAAATATTTAAGGTATCTCATAAAAGGAATAAACATAAAGCAAAATTTTGTCTAAGTTAAATAATTTTTTCAGCTTAACACCAGTAATTTTGACCCATTTACTTCATGTTCTTCCAGTGTACAAAGGCAGAAATATTTTAAATAAAAGTAAAAAAGGATATATTTCCATTCATTTTCCTTTCATCAATGTAACACAACTTTAAAGTTGGAAATGTAATTCTACCATTTTTAATAAAATTACTTGAATGTACATTAGAATTACACATTTGAAAGACAAAAGATTTCATTCCACAAAAGACAATGTAAGTATTTCTCTTAAGTGTTCAATTAGTAATTAGTAATGCAAAAGCTCAGGCCCACCAAGGATGACTGCTTTGTCCTGGCTTGGCCCACACACCCTGTCACAGAAAAACTGGGGGGGCAGGAGGGGCAGGAGAGCTGGTTTCTTGGTTTCCCAAGGTCTCCACCCCAGACCTCCTCAACAGAAACTCTGGCAATATGATACACACTCCCCTTATAAAACCCATTTTCCAAATATAACTTTTATATCCAAATAGGCTTTATTCTGCAGTTATAATGCTGAAGTTGACTGAGAATTAACTGCACAGTTAGACAGAGACAGCGATGGAGAGATGGCTGCATGGCCCTAACTAAGGGCTTTCACTTGAGTTACCGCTCTGCCAGCTCCGAGAGGTAGATGGGTGGTTGGCGGGATAAGGACAGGGCCTGCCTCCATAAAAGTTTAGGTGTCGGAATCTCAAAAAGTCTTCTTTCATTCATTCCTACCCACACTTACCTTTACCGATTCTTATCACTTCCTTCTTCCTTCTTTAGAATCTTGTTTTGGTCTAGCAGACCGAGCGAATTGCTAATATTTAAAAATTAAGGTTTCCTTAACAAACATAGAAGCAATCTTTTCTAATTATCAGGAACTTTCTAATTCAGGGCAGAATTTATCTTTTATATTTATACTCTCAGACATTTGTTAAATACGTTTTATCTACCTGCTGTCCACGATTTGGGCGAGAAGTAAAAAATGTAGTGTCTTTCTCTCCAGTCAGTATCTTCCACACCTATATCTTCATCTGTCCTGCTGATTATCAACTTGTGAACTACATTCGCTAAAGGCAGGGTAATTAATCAATGGTTTATTTTGTTTATTAAAATTCTTGAATGCAAATAAGAAATACAATATAAGGTATAACTACAATGAACTGTATCTCTGTAATGAGCCTAAGGGAATTTCGGGGGACTGCAGGCACAGGCTGTGTGCACATGCTCTGTTGGGCTGAGTAAGAGAAAGGTTGAGACTTGGCTACATCTAATAACCTCATGCTGCTGCTGAGGTTCCTTCACTTCCAATGTTCATCTAAACAACACTCATCTCTCAGCCAGTACGTCTGTGATTGAGTACCTCCAGGTAGGATGTCAGCTGGTAAGTCTTCTAAAGGTGGATAAAAATTAGTTTCAGCTCTACGCTTCTCCTAACAACTAGAGTGCTTGGAACAGACAGGTTAAAAGGATACGACCACCATGGGTTTTCCAAAAAGCACATAGCCATTAGCTTCCTTCAAGGCCTTTGCTGCTGCTTTTTCGTTTGGGAGCCCAATGAAGGCCTGTCCTTTCATGCGGCCCTCCTTCATCAGGCGGATGTCAAACCTGGAGGTCAGAAGAACAGCAGGCTTGAGTCAAAGAATGTCAAACCATGGCGACCAAATGAATGGAAATGTTGCCATTCCAGAGCGAAAACAACTAGAAAACAACTATCCAACCTCGTTAGCACATCAATTCCTCACTTCTAAAGCTGTATTTTGTAGTCAGTCCCAAAATTGATTCTATGAGTAGACAACAGAACTTTGAGGATGCGCTTACACATATTTTTCAGCTATCTTAAATGTATTTATGTGATTTAAAAAATATCTTCCTAGCAACTATGAAGCACATTTCTTAAGTTATGTCATATCTCTATTTTTAAAAAATTCCTCGCAAACAATTCAACACTATTACTCAAGAGACAAAAAGCAACTATACAACCAAAAACAGGATTTCGGAGCAGGAAGAGACATTACTAAGCACCACTTCACAGGGACGCCCACGGAGACAGTGGCTTCTTCACTGTCATTTTACTGAGCTCAAGTCAGAGACGGAAATACAAGCACATGTGTTATTCCACGTGTAGAATTCCACTCTTTCATAGTGTACTTTTTTTTTTTTTTTTAACATTTTGTACACAAAGCTATATTGGAGACGCCTTAGAAAAAAGCAGATTATAACTTGTAACTGAAGTACTGCTTTAGAGAGTCTATAGGACTAGGAAAATCATATAAAGTATGAAAAAATGCAGTGAAATTTTAAAATTCATATGACTAAGTCCCATGGGGAACAATTATTAGTCATCTTGTCGTGCACAACCTTCTCCATATAGAATTATTTTCCCCATGAAACTCTAAATGCAAACAATCCTGGAAATAGAAAAAAAAAAGAATGTATACACACATTTGTACATACATATCAATACATATAAAGTATTTATTTGTTTCTTACCATCATGATTTAAAGGCAGCAACAAGAAAAAGGACCAGCAAGAAAATCTTTTGATATTCTATAAGAAGAGGCATGGGGACTACTGCATATAATGGAAACTTTTAAGACCAAGCATACCTATCTAAAAAGGAACACAAGGCCAGACTAGACTTGAAAAGTGCTGGTTGCTCAGGAAGTTTAAAACAAATTAACTAGTTGAGAAGTCTCTCTCCTCACCTCTGCTACTTCTAGTTTACATGGCCAGCAGTCTTATGGACTTAGGAGCCAACTATTATGGAATTTCAAAGAATGAAACTCTAACTGCAAACATCAGCTTTTATATCATTTGCAATGGTACCACGTGGCCTGCACTGGGATGAAACTACTGAATGGTTACAACCTGCCTTTGCAAAGAAGCCTGCTGACTCCGGCTTCTCACTAAGGGACAGGCACGGGGATGAACCAGCGTTACTTTCTAACCGGCGAAAACTCTGAGAATATGACGGCCACTTACATGATCCGTTGTGTTTCTGATGAAAAGTCAACATATCTTCCAAAAATAAATTTAAGGTCCTAGAATTTCAATAAGAAAAAAAAAAAAAAAAAAAAAAAAAAAAAAAGGTAAGAAAGTCCAGCAAAAAAAATTAATAGTAAAATAATAAGCTTCATTTATAAATTTTGACCTACCTTTTCTTGAACATGTTTAGCTAAATTCTTTACATAAATCCTACAGTTTGGTTCACCAGGTTCATAACTTCTGAAAACCGAAAGCGTTTCCATTTCTTATTAAAAACAAAACAAGGAAGTAAAGTTAAGATATTTTTGATCAATTTGAAAGTTTCAAAGGGAGCAAGGCAGGTTCCTGTCACGCAATTACCTTCTCTAGAAACCCGGCCCTTCTCCAGCTCCCGCCTGGAGATACACTCGGACGGCGTCTCGTCCGAGTCTTCCTTACTTTCCTCTTCGACGCTCGGGTTGGGTTTGGGGAAGATCTTTCCAAATCCTACAGTGGATGCATCGCCTTGAGCAGCAGGTAAATCTAAGGATTAAGGTCAACAGGAGCCATTAAAAATCCCTCCTTTCAAGACAGTCCGTTTTCCACTTTTAATTTTCAAGAGGGCTTTGGCACGAAGCCCTTTGGTGCTTTTCTCATTACTTTGGAACAGGTAGGCAAAGTCTACTTGTCAAGGTTCAGAGTAAATATTTCAGGGTTTACAGGAGTATGAAAGTGTCTTCATAATGTACAAAAACTTATCCTAGCAGAACTGGCGCCTGCAGGCATCTAGTCACATTGCTAGTTCCCAATCAATAGGATGATCATACTAACAAGACCACTGAGCATCACATTTAACGAGCAATGGAAAAATAAGTCAGCATAAGGATCCTTCTAGTACATTTCCAGCGTGAACATCAGTACAAACCAGACTCCAGTGCTCCTTGAAGTCCATTACTCGCCACCGGCAATGAGACATTTCCTTCGGAAGCACCAATTCTAAGTATATAAGAGAGGTGACAATGGACAGTATCCATGGTCCTGAGGAAGCCCTGACCTGACTGCATATTTTACAGAGTCCACAAATACTGAGACAGAAACGTGGCGTATAGAATACAATTGTAACACAAACGCTGACTGAGAAACGTGTTTACATCGCATTTAAAGAACTATGCTAAGCGAAATAAGCCAGTCAGAGAAAGATAAATATCACATGGTCTCATTCATTTGTGGAATATAATGAACAACCTAACTGATGAACAAAAACATATCCAAAGACAGAGAAGCATAGATTAGGCCATCATATCTCAGAGGGAAGGTAGGGGAGGGGGAGGGTAAAGGGAAGGGAAGAGATCAAGGGAAGGACTTGTATGCATACATATGGGCCTAACCAATGGACACAGACACTAGGGGGGGTGAGGGCATAAGTGGGGGGAGGGAGGAGCGCGGGTGTTAATAGGGGGATAAGGACACATATGTAATACCCTAATAAAGAAAAAAATAAAGAACATTTACTTTAAATTCCTTAAAAAAGGTGAAAGAATTTTAAAAAATACAAAAAGAAATTAACTCATAGACAACAGTATGGTGATTACCAGAGGCAAACCGAGAGGGGGGAGATAGGAGAGTAAAGGAGGGAAAAATGTATGGAAAGAGACCTGACGTGGCACGGTGAACCATACGCAGATGATATATTATAGAACTGTGCCCCTGAAACCTATATAACTGTATTAACCAATAAGCTCAATAAAAAAATTAAAGAGCATTCCTTTATACTCTTTATTAGAAAAAAAAGAACTAGAACGTGCTTACCAGGATTTTGTTCTTCAAAATCATCTTCCTTTTCCAAATCTTTCTTAACTGCAGCTGGCATGTCGGTAGATATATGGAACTCAATCTTTTTATTCCCGACCTGTGGCTGTGGCTGATCGAATACATCCGACGGGGACAGCACCGGGTGTAAGCTGCAGCTCACCCACAATCACAGCGTTACTTCACAACCGCAAAGAATGTCCCCAGGAAAACACTATTTCACGTTTACTGTACTTTAACAAGCTAACGCTGACAAAGAACTCAACACTACAGGCATTTTACCAAGTAAAACCTGCATTAACTACTTCCATAAACCCTGACGAGTTCTACTGTGAATCCTATTAAGTTATTAGTTTAGATTCATCACATCATCACTCAGAAGTGAGAGACACAGTACGGGAGGACTATTAGAAATGGAGAAAAAGATCATTTAAACAAACGCCTTTCTCAATTTATGAAGTTAGGAGCTCAAGGAAAATTGACATAGAAAAGTTCCATGAAATTAAAATCACAATTAAGAGTAATTTAACCTGATTAAGATATTGAGAAACATAGAACTCGCTGGCAAACAGACATCTCTGCCACGAATGGACTGAAGAAATGCGAGTTCCACAAGCAGACTAGCGCCTATAGAACCCTGATTCCATAATCCAAACAAGACTGACTACCTGTGAGACACGGGCGCAGGTGTGGTCAGCATGTCCTTTATTTTCCGCCTTTTCCTCACATGGCGTTGTCTTGTTGCTTTTGGTCTTTTGGGCTGAAGATTTGCTAATTCCATTAGTTTGGCCATTCTGCCTTGGGGGAAGGGAAAGGAAAAAATTATTTCTGTACACCAAAAGGTTGCCAGTTTGATTCCTGGCTGGGGCGAATACAGGAGGCAACTAACTCATCGAGGTTTCTCTCTCTCTTTTTTTCTTTCCCTCTCCCCTCCTCCTCTTCCTCTCTCCAAAAAAAATAAAAATAAAAATAAAAAAATCAATAAACATATCCTTGGGTGAGACTTAAAAAAACTGTATAACTACTATCTATATGCTAGAGGGGTGGTGCTGGGGATGAACAAATTCTAATGTCCCCAAATTACTAAGAATTACAGGAAAATTCAGAAGAGCAAGAGACTCTCTTCTCAGAGAATGTGTCTCTTCAAATCTAAACAAGTATGATACGAAGTCACCAACCTCTGTCGGTCTTCCTCATCGCTGCTTTCGTACTCGGATTCTTTACTCGATAAGTCCTCATCCTCATCTGGCAAAGGCGGGTCCTCTGGGGGCCGAGGAGACCCAGGGGGCAGAGGGGCGTGTAACGGCACATAGTCTTCATACTAAACAACAACAATACTCATGATGTTTCCCGAACAGATAAACCCTCCATTCGATCCACGATTCTCATCTCTCTGAAGCTCATGATATTAGGACACACTCCACACACGGAGGGACACCTGCCTGGCAGATGCCTAGCTGAGCAAATACTTGCTGCTTCTTCCTGGGCACCTGGCATACACCTTTAAGAGTCTCTACTTAAAGGTGTATACAAAAGTAACCATTTCCAACTTCCCTGGCAGTTCAGAGTTCACCAGGGAACTGTTTTAGCCAATGAAGAGTTGGCACAAAAACCTTCAACTATGAACTCTTGCTTTGTGCTCAGCAGGCTTCTTAATTTCAGGGCACAGGAGAGTCAAGGGCCCAGCATTGGGAGCATTTAGTCTCAATGATCCCAACCCTGGAGGAGCAGTTTTGAATCTTGAAAATTCTAAGAGCTTTCTTACCATGGGAGGCCGTGCAGTGATTGGTCCGAAAGGTGTGGGCAAATTCATTTTATTCATCAGATGAAGCACCTTAAAATTATAAAGCATTTAGAACTGCTTAGTAAAATGGTGTCAGCTCATGTTTTATGTACTTAAAAACTCTGCGTTGATTCGACTGATTAATGGGGTGCAGAGGCTGGCAGACCTCTCACTGTCATGACCCTGGAACAAGGCCCTGGTGGATCTCAGGGTAGCCTTCCTAAATTTTTGTCAGCCCTGCAAACGTTATTTTCATTATTACGATACAACATCTTCTCACATGCTGTTTCTCCCTTGATCATTATAAAATTAGGAAACAGAAGTAAAATACCAAAATCAACATTATCTACATTTTGTGCTAAAAAAAAAAAAAGTATCCTGTTACTATCAATACTTTCAAACCTTTGCCCTAGGGGTCAACTATTTCCTTTCCTTTAAAAATCTCTACTTAAAGGTGTGTGCTACAGTAATCAAGAATTACCAGAAATTGCATTTCCCAAATTATCTTGTGTTTATTATTATTACTAAACATAATAGGTTGCTTATGCCATTCCTATATAATAAAAGGCTAATATGCAAATTGACCGAGTGCCAGAACGACTGGTTGCTATGACACTAATTGACCACAGGAGCCAGGAGCTCAACTCAGGAGCTGCCACTGGGGAAGCACTGCTCAGCCAGAAGCCGGGCTCATGGCTGGCAAGCACAGTCTCCACAGCAGTCGGACATCCCGAGGGGTCCCAAACTGCGAGGGCACAGGCCAGGCTGAGGGAACCCCCAGTGCACAAATGTCATGCACCAGACCTCTAGTAGTTTATAAAAGCCTGTACTTGAATGCGGTAATATTTCATTACCATTTGAAATTGACTGAATGTCTGTGATGCAACCCCCCACCCCCAATTCCTATACTGAACCCTGACCCCCAATGTGTAGGTATTAGCAGGTGGGGGAAGAATGGGGCTTTGGGAAGTAAATAGGTCATATGCCAGGCCATCTGCCACCTGAAGAGAGCCCTCCCCAGAACCCCACCTCACTGGCACCCTGATCTCGAACGTCCAGACGTGAGAAATCATTTCCTGTTGTTTATAAGCAGTCTATTCTGTGGCATAGTTACAGCAGGCTGCACTGATTATGACATCTTTCAGCAACTGCAATATCCATGCCTGTCGGAATTAGTCTAACTAGTACTCTATGGAAAACTCTGAGAATTGGCCTGGAAAATAAAACGTCAGGTTCCTCCTGCATTTCCTGTGGGGAACGCTGGTTTCACTCTACGCACCTGGACATAGAACTTGGGCACACTTGCCAGGGCGTTGACTATGTTTGCGAGGATTGTGCTGGACGGCGGTGGGTACATGTACTTGAGGCAGGAATCCAGAGGAAACGTCAGCCTGGAGAAAACATTTACAATGCTTATTGTGTTCCCCTGAGTTTCATGTCAAGAACTCGTTGTAAATAACATGGTAACATACAGAACCGATCCAATAATTCAGTACTCTAAGGTTGCTTGGTGCCTGACAGACCCAAACAAGCACATTTAGGCAGAAAGCTGTCTTCTGGCCGCATTACAGGAAAATAAGAATTTTCTTATCAGATCTTATTTCGTAGCTCTAAACATTTTAATGGAAGCAAATTCAGTGACCAACTCTTATAGCTCAAAATGTTTAATTGACAGATTAAAAATAGACATGCCAAAATATCCCTTTTGAATAAATTATCTGATTTACAATACACACACAGAGAGAGAACAAAAAAATTAAAAGAACAACAAAATACAAAGAAAAAGCACTCACCCATGGTTTGGTGCAATTCCATTTTCTATAGTCAAACAACCAAGTTCTTTCTTTTCTTTATCATCTTCCACAGGCTCCTCAGACCTAGGACACACAGAATCAAAGTTGATCTGAGCTTTAGAAATAGAATGAAAAAATACATACAGGAAAAAAAGTTATCTTTCCACACATGGCATTACGAAAAACAGTTCCATAATAAATAGAATGTTCAGATACTGTCCATGACAGGCCACATTTCATTTAGTCTTCACTGAAACCCTAGGAAGATGGTGTGATAAATCTCACTGAAGATTGAAAACCCCTGAAATTTACCTGGTGTACAACAGTGATGCCCCAATTTCTATAATTGCGTTGCTCCTATCCCCCAATTTCTAACTTGGAAAACCGGATTAAGGCCCAAAAATCTATATGCCAGTCAAGATCCTAGAGGATGCAGCTGGTCCAGGGACCACTAGTCTTCAAGACCCACTGGTGTAAAGCTTATTTGTAAAGGCTATATAACTTAACTTACAAAGAGTTATAACTGAAACCAAATACCAGTCTTTGCAAAAGCCCTACCTATGCAAGACACCCACTGTCTGTAATACAGTGTTGTTAACAGAACTCTCTTCCCACATTAATTCCTAACATTAAATCAACTCCTAATTCACGACTAGGAACAAAAATACATTGTTTTAATGTACTAGATCCAACAAGAGAGATGTATCCATGTTAGGAAAAGCCAACTATCTACGCACCTCTTCTTTTTGTCTGTGCCTGCAGAGGGACCTGGGGAATGGACTTCATCTTGCTCTTTTGCAAATTCAACAACTAACGTGTGACCTAGGAGTTTCAGCTGGTGGAGTCTTGTCAGTGCCTGCAGTTAGAAGAAGAGAAAATTCGATTTGTTAGAGACCACCTACCTTTACACATGCCCTTTGTTAATGCTGTCATCACTTCTCTGGCTCTTTCTCACCCGTTTCTAACTTCACGCTGCCCAACCTTTCTTACTGGCTTCCTATCACTTAGCAAAATTAAAATCTGGTTAAATCCAGCACATGTTTACTGTTCTTAGATACCAATACCTAGACTTCGGGTAAGATCTGCCAACTGACAGAGTCCAAGGTAGCCTGTGGAGCCAAATGTTGAAATACAAATCCTTTTGCTTTTTAAACTATAGTTTATGTGTTATTTTTTGAACCAACACTGGACGATGGTTAACTTTGATAGTAAAGAAAAAGTCCCACCTTTACCGCTGCTTTTTCATTAGGGAAAGTAGCAAACGCTGTATGTTTCTGAAAAAGAATGAAGGTACAAAATTATTTCAAATATAATTTCAGCTTTTCATAAGGAAGTCTGATATTTTAATAGTGATTTGACACATTAATAAAATCTTGGCAAAGAATGAAAAATCACGACCACTTTAACGGATTACTGCTAACTCCATCACAGTGGTTTTGAATCTTTTCTGGATCAGACAGAGATGGAAATTATGTAGCCTTTTTTGTTACAGGTATGAGAGAGCATCCGTCAATTAGTTCAACACATCAAAAGTTTAAAAACTATTATACCTAGTAAAAGCACTATCCTTAAAACTATAAGAAGATAAAAAATACCCGCCATTATATAATACATATAAAGAGCTTAAACTTTATACACCCAAATGCAGAGTTTAAAAATGTTCGTAGGAAAGAAAAATCCTTGAGTGCATGTTTCCTTTGGGCTTTATCTTTGTAATAAGAGTTCAGAGGAAGAACTCTATTTTTAAATATAAATTGTGAATATTTTTATAACAGAAAGGGAGCACTAAGTCAAAAGAAAACAAATTAGCATGCTAAGAGTTCCTGCCTAAAGCATTTAAAGGTGCTTGAATACATTGTTACTTTTGTCTAATCCGATCTAAAATGACTTGAGTGCACTTAAGCTGAATCGCATAGAATCTCTGTATAATATCTGCTGGCACGCAGCAGGTCCTTGAATACTGAACGTCGTTTTGTTCAAAGTCCTCTCCTTACAAGTTGATGAGCTGCCTCAGGAGCTTGACTAACTCATGTTTCTATCCATCAGCCTAGGGTAAAACCAGACCCCGTGTGTGTCCTTTTGCTTAAAGTTGCAGAACCTAGCAATGGCACTGAGGAGTTACTGCACCTGGCACTTGGATCAAAACTGGTCTTTTTTTTTTTTTTTTTTTTTTTCACTGATCCTCAACCCTGGCTGCATGTCAGAACCAATCACCTGGGCCTAGACTGGATTCCAATAATCACAGGCTGTGTTGTTCCTTGTGATTAAGCCGGGGGCTTTAGCACCACGGGTGACTTGCCCCCTCAGAGCCCGCGTTGCAGAAACTTAACAGCGCCGTTCCTCGCACACAAATCCAGCGAACACACCGTCCGGTTTAAAAGAAATGAAGTGGAAATTCTGTAACTAGTGCACTCCAATTTACGATTGCAGTTTCTCCTCTGTTCATGGACTATCTTATTCCTGGCTGACAAATGAACCAATGTTTTTGTTTTTTTTTAAGTCCTCCTTCCCTATTTCCGAGAGTACGGGGACTGGGAGAAGCACCCCCATCCTCCGAGGTGTTCTGGGATCTACACATCCAGGCAGTTCCGCGGCGCTGTCACCGGCCCAGGCTTCCGCTCATCAGAACGTCGCTGTGCCCGCGGGAGATCGGGATGGAAAAGAGGGGAACCCCCCGCCGCGAGCGCCTCTCCCCGCGCGGGCGCCCTTACCAGCCGCCCCTTATCGGACAGGACGCGCACGGACTGCGCCCCGAAATACTTGAGCAGGTCCTCCTTCTCCTCCGCGCTCAGCTCGGCCGGCAGGTGCCTCACGAGGAGGGTTCGGTCGCCCCGCGGCGGGGACAGCGAAGCGGGGCCCGGGCACCCTCTGGCTCCGGGCAGCGGCGGCTCGGGAGCCGCCATCGGCCCCGGAGAAGGAAGGACCGGGATGCGGAGCGCGGGACCCCAGCAGCAGACCACAAGCTGGGATCGATGTGTAAGTTTTCCGCCTCGCGCGAAGGATTCTGGTAGCACGGAAATGCCGCGAGAGGTGGGTGCTTTCTCGCGAGACCCTCGCGAGAGTGACACTTTGGAGGGCGGTTCCTGGGCCTGGAGGGCGTGGCTGTGCAGTGATTGGAAAGGAACGTGGTTAGAATTCCAGGCAGCTGCGGAAGGTATTAAAAAACTAAGACGTGCCCGAGAGAGTGTGAGGATTTACAAAGCTGTCAAAGAAGGAACAGAGAGGCGATACCTCAATCGAGCTGAAAGAGGGAAGCCTGACAGGAACCTATTGCGCATGTGCGGGCGGGGGCGGGGGGGGGGGGCGTGGCGCCTGCGCAGTCGGCCGCCCTGGTCCCGCCCCTGCCCGGAGGCGAGGAGGGTGCAGTGTGAGCTTGGGGGTGTGATTTACACTGGGGATGGGTTACCTCGGAGACTGCAAGTTCTTTTTGCAACTCAGCGAGGTCCACACAGGCAGGAGAACTCCGTATGCGGAACACAGTGTTGGAACACACGTGTTTTGTCTTCCGGATCGCTGTGCACACAGCAGCCCGGTGGACGCTCAGGCCAGGGCTCATTTCTTGACTCATTCATGCTTTCCTCCTACATTCACCTTGCGCAGCAGTGAGGCACGCCCCTACTTGGAATCCAAATCCCTGGCATGTGCCCTGACTGGGGATCTAACTGTGACCTCCTGGTCCACTGGTCGATGCTCAACCGCTGAGCCACACAGGCGGAACATCCAATCTTATATTTATCTTGCTTGCTCGTATCAGGGTTTCTGTTTTGCATTCAGAGACCACTAAAAGCACAACTTTGGGAGTGAAACTGCCTCGGTTTATATTCCTGTTCTGCTCTGTGACTTAGGGGGGAGTGCCTTAACTGCTCTGCCAAGCTCTCTGATCTGTAAAACGAAGACACCACCTTCTTCATAGGCTTGTTATTAAGTTTTAAATTCATGAATCTGCCATACAGTTGTTCTCTTTGTTATTTTTACTTTTACTTGCTGATTGTATGGGTAATGTTTGTCTTCCCCACTAGATTTTTAGGAACCATGTTATTTTCTCCCACTATTGTAGCTCCAGACCCAGCTCATAGTAGGTACTAAAAATTGTTGAAAATAATAATAGCAACAATAAAAAGAATGGTTTAAGTCCAGGTAATGAATGCCTGTCTGTGTGTGCACTGAAGTCAGCGGCATATTCTGCATTTATCAGTCATAGCCACTAGATGGCAAGCTTGTCCCAGGCAAGGCAAATGCTTTAAGCCCCTAGGAGCTGATGATGGGGGAGTGTCATACAATAATACAGTGTATGGTTTTTAGGCTGGTAGAAGGATAGGAAGATGAAAGTTTAATTATAAATAAAAATTGCTGAATTTTATTTTTCATTCCATCATGTGCTCTGCCCTTCTGACTAGCTCATCTTTCAATTGACTTATTTATTTTTAAAGTTTTTAACTGGCCACACACAGACACTGGCTGAATGTGGGTGGCCCGGCTGCTGTGACAGCAGGGTGAGACCCGCTATGGTTCTGAGTTTTGAGTGACTTCGTTGCCTGCATGTGTGTGGGGAAAAGAGCAATGTGCCCCTCACCCTAGGCTGCTCCCCAGGTGTCCCGCTCACCCCCAAGAGGGCAGGCCCGAGACCTGCTACGGTCACCTAGGGGCACTTCTGTCCTTGACGATTTGTTCAATAGAGATCAAATCCTGAACACATTAACCCCAAAGCTGGCAAGAGGTGTACACAACAGGACATGCTGACGTTTCAACTCTTCCATTTCTAGAAAGCTCTCCTTTACTTCTGTTTACTTAAGGACCAACTGATGCCATTTACCCTTTCTCCCCTCAGAACATTTTTTCCAAACAGGAAAAACTAAAGAAAGCCACACACATCCATATTTGCTGAGCTCTTAAGATCCCTTCAGCATCTAAACTTCAACCAAACTCAAACCAGCTGCGCTTGTCAATGTTTGATTTCAAAATTCCAGGGCCTGAGGCTCCATCTGGTCCTTGTGAGCCTGAACCACTGTCAGGGCTTCCAGAGAAAACGTTTGCTGGCTCCTAGTCCTGGTCAGAGCCCCCAGGACCTGGTGCAGGACCCGGTCAGCGGCTGCAGCTGCCCCGTGGGCACAGCCTCAGGCAGAGCCCAGAGCACACAGGAGACTGGACGGAGGTCGTGGGCATCTCCTACATATGACACACCTAGCATTTCTCATTCCACTGACACCTCGTTACAATATTCACAATTCTCCATTGAAAAAACGATGCTCAGAAAGGCCTCTTATAGAATTATTATTAACCAGTTTTCTTATAATTCTTTCAATCACAGACCTTGACCTGCTGGTTCCCAAATCTACTGTGATTGTGGCTGGAACATGAGTTACATTCTATCTTATTCTTGAACAAGAACTTGGTCTCCCTTCTGATTATTGCTCATTATAAGGGTGTGAGGCACGTGCCATTTCATTTTCTTCCAGCTCACAATGTGTGTCATTTTTGGAAAATAAACTGCTATTGTGCCTCGTATAAAAGAAAGAAATGAAAGTGTCGAAGAGTCTACAAATGAGATAACCTCTAAATAATCAAAGTTTGGGGCTTTTGAAAATTTTATAAATACCAATCAATTGAAATTGATTAAATGTGTGTATATGCTTCTTATAATCAAAAGCCAGGTGGAAGTATTTTTTTCTCTACTTTTAGCAAACAGGAGGAGTAGCATAAGGCTTCTATCAGTGAAGTTTTTAAAAAGCTTTTACCTATTTTTAGATCGTTTTAGTCAGGTTGTAAATCACAGTGTAACCTGTTTCGTAAGATCAAAACCAAATTATTGTTGTCTTCTGGGTAATCTCATGGTCCATCTAAACAACAGAAGTCAGACATTTAGTCAATATTTGTTTTCCAAATTAATGACCTTGGTTGGTACAATTATTCAGCGATACTTCAATTACCTAAAATTAAGCAAACTGGCGACCTGTCTCATGTAAAATAAAGCTTACTCCCCATTCCTCCCCCCCCCCCCCCCAAAAAAAAAAAAATATGCGAAAATCTCTGACCATTCAGAAGGGTAGTAGCTTGCTCCAGACTTCCCATTTCTCAGCGGTGGGGCTCATAGCTAGCTACCTGTGTTTACTTCAGGGCTAGACTTATGGGCTGGGAGCCATTACCATCCAGCTGCTGACCCTGTGTCAGAGGGAGCAGCAGACCTTCCAGTGAAATCTGCTGTGATCTGCTGGGCTCTTCAAGGCTGGGCTTGGTGACCAGAAGCTGTGTGGCTTGGAAACAGCGAGGCCTGTTGTTAAGGAAGGAATGAGGACCCAGAACAGCGCCTCCCAGAGGAGCAGAGCCTGGATCTTGATCCTGGGCAGGCTGGTTTCTCCCTGAGACACAGCTCCCCCATCTGCTCCCTCCCTTCCCTGACAACCACCTTTGTTGCATTTCCCACCAGCAGCTACCAAAGAATTCCAACTCCTGGATCTAGTTTACTCTTAGATGATCTCTTTCATTCTTTATTCGGCACCTCTTTTTGATTTATGAACAATTCTAAGACCCTCCACTGTGTAGTTTTGAAGTGAAATGAATAGTTGAAGGGTAAAGACTGGCAGCCCACCGCCATTTCCTCGGTGGGTGCATGTTTCCTAACCTGTCAGAATAAAGCCCCTCGGGGATAATGGGCCACAGCTTCCTTTTCGTGTCTTTGTCCCAGTTTTTAGGGTGATTTCTTGTGCCTTGTTAGTAAGTAAGGGCATTATAACTTACAGGATAACAATCTGGGTTATTGTTTCTTAGAGAAAAAAAAAATGGACACATGAAGAAAAACATATTTATGTTTAAGATATTAAGTTACAGCCCAGACAGTGTGAGTGTCATCAGCTGGTTGAGTGTCATCCCGTACACCTAACGGTTGCCAGTTCCATTCTGGGCAGATGCCCAGGTGGCAGGTGAAGTCCCTAGACTGGGTGCATATGGGAGACAACCAATGGATGTCTCTCTTTCCCTCCCTCCATCTCTCCTACTTCTCTCCCTCCCATTTATGCCTATCTGTATATATACATTCAGATATATACTTAGTGGCCAGATTATTATGACCACCCTATCTGTCCTTTGTTGGGCCACCTTTTGCCTTCAGTACTGCGGTGATTCTTCTTGGCATTGACTCCACGAGATGTTGAAAGGTGATGGGAGGAATCTGGCTCCATGCCTGATGAATAGCACTGTCCAGTCCTGTGAGATCTGATGGTTGTGGAACCAGCTGCCTGATGGCTCTTTTAACTTCGTCCCACAAATGCTCAATTGGATTGAGATCTGGTGATTGTGGGGGCCACTTAAGCAAGGTAAAGTCTCCCTCATGTTCTTGAAGCCACTCCTGCACAATACAAACACCATGGCATGGCACATGGTCTTGTTGGAAGAAGCCATCTCCATTGGGATAAGTTATCAACGTGATAGGATGAACTTGATCAGCCATGATACTTAGGTATGTTGTGCTATTCAGATAATACACATGAATTAAAGGGCCCAAATCATGCCAGGAAAACATGACCCAAACCATAGCACTGCCCCCATCAGCTTAAAAGGTTGTACTCATGCATGTGGGGTGCATGCTTTCATGCTCTTTTCACCAAATTCTCACTCTGCCAACTGGAAACGTGATTCATTGGACCACATGACTTTTTTCCAATGCTCGACTGTCCAATCCTTGTGTTCGTGTGTGAATTGGAGAATTGGAGACGTTTTATCTTGGTAACAACAGATGGCAAAGGTGTTCAAACAGGTCTTTGGCTTCCATATCCCATAGGGCTAATTTTCCTACAAATGTCAGGTGGTCATAATAATCTGAACACTCAGTTTACATACAAATAGGCATAAATGGGTGAAGAAAAACTCATTATTAGTTCTGTGATCTTGAGAAATTGCTTCACTACTC